CTGCCCTTGGACGGACCAATAGCCACACAGACATACAAATAAGGAGTCACTAAGTGTGCAGGGAATGCTGAGGGCACGTGGAAAACAGTGGTCCAATCTACCTAATGGGGTATAAAAATAAAAAGGCTTTAGCAGGGAAACCAGGGAGATGAGGCATGAATGATGGGCAAGAAATGGTGAGAGATTTTGAGGAAGGCAGGGCTTGGGGAATGAAGGAATTTAGGTTAATTCCCAGATATCTAGCTTAGGCAACTGAATGGAGCTTAGAAATACAGGCTTATAAGGAAGGGGAGACGCCAAGTTTAGCTTCATTGAATCTAAGATGACTATGGGACACAGAGTTGGGAGGATCCAGGAAGAACAAACACTAAATTCTCAGCGTTTACCCTGGGCCATGCACTATTTCATTTAATCCCCACACAACCCTATTATTATGCCTCTTATCTACAGTTGAGCAAACTGAGGCACAGAGGAGTTAAATCCCTTGCCCGAGGTCACATGGCTCTGAAAAGCCAGGCTCCTAGACACCAGTTGAGCTGACCCCCTCTGCCCTTGGACATGAGGGACTGAGGCTCAGAAGAGGTTTGGTCTCTACACATAGACTGGGCCCACAGGAGGCACCTGAAGTCTTGGGACAAGACCGGATCACACAGGGAGCACCTACAGTGAGAGAGGGCTGAGGATGGAACCATGGGAACACCATCTCATCAAAGCAGGAGCCAGCAAAGATGTTAAAAAGAAATCATTGGGGGTTAGAAAAAGAAATACGCCCAGGTGGTTTCCCAGAAGCCAAGGAGCAGTTCCCCAAAAAAGAGTGGTCAGTGGAGTTAAGCACTTCAAGGGGGGCGAAGAGAAGGTCTGGGAAGGGATCTTTGAATTTAGCAGTTAAAAAGCTTACTAGCTCTCTTTTGTCCATTATAACAGATTCAGCCTCAATTTGAGCCTCAAGGCTTTTTTCCGATGGGCACTCCACCCAGCTCCTCCTGCCTTCCTAGCTCCTCTGTCCACCTCTATGCAAGGTAAGTAAATCTTCCAAGCGTATTTTTTTCTACCTGGTAGGGAATCGGGGCTCACCCTAAGACCTTCTTGAACAAAGTCACCCTCTTTGCCTCAGCACACACATTATTCTCCCAGCCAGAAAGACCCTACCCCTCCTACTCACAATCCATTTATCATTTTTCTTCAAAACTTATCCCAGATCTTGAGGGTTTTTAAAACTATTAGTCCCATCACATTTTAAATTTGTATGTCTCTTCATTGATTTTTTTTAATCCTCGCCTGAAGATATGTTTATTAATTTGAGAGAGAAAAATATAGATGTGAGAGAGAAACAGGGATAGGCTGCCTCCCATATGCTTCCAAACCAGGGATCGAACCCACATCCTTTTGGTGTATGGGAGGAAGCTTAACTAACTGAGCCACCTGGCCAGGACTCTTTATAGTTTTTACAATTAATTGTTTCTTGGCACTTAAGATTTTCCACATCTATATGTTGTATATGATACTTTAACGTCAGTTTGACTCACCTATCAGGTAACAATTTACATAAGGTTGAAGGAAATAGAGCAAATCTTTTGTTTGTTGGTTCCCTCTATGTGCTCTGCACAGTGGCTGCTGAGCAAATGTTTTGGACTAAGACTGACCGCTGAATATTTACTCAAAACAAGTTATTTATTAGCAAGTGTGAGTAATTGGGAGGAAGAATTTTTGAAGATGAATATGTGCTGATCCTCATATTTTTATCTAGGTTGAGTTCTAAGACATGGGTGGAGTCCCACAGAAATTTCTCTGCCCTGGATGAAGAATTAGTTATAATTGGAAAGTATCTCCAGGGAAATCTCCAGATCCCTGGTTCCAAGTAGCCATCCGTATTCTGATGACATAAAAGTGATGCATCATGGCAACATCTTATGAATAACATCTGAATAACATCACTGAATGGAATTTCTATGCAGTAACCGAGAGAAAATAAACCATCATATCATTGTCGGCAGATTTAAACAAAAGCAACAACAGTGTTCATCCTAATCTCTCCCCTCTCGAGTAGTTCCCTTGGGGTATTATCATCTTCTTCTAGTCTAAACAAAGCATGTGAACTTGAGATCAGGGTAACATAAATTACTGGGATGTAAAACAAAAACACTGAAAATCATTTTTAAAAAGAAAAACAAGATTTTGAGTGAAACTTTCAAATCTCTTACGGCAGAATTTTAATAAATGAAATTTCTAGAAAATAGGTGTGGATAAACTGAAGTCTTCTGCTGGTATATCACCTCAAAGCTCTCATAGACACCTTTTAAGTATTTTATTTCACTATATAATGGTAACATTCACGCTTGATCCAACAAGCCCCAAGCAGAACCTGTCATCCCCCCTTGCAAGCCTATATGTCTAAGCTCTGAGAATGGCCCCACCACCCATTGAGGGGCCTAGTAGGACCTAAACGCACAACAGAGGTGACCTAATGTGGGAGAGGGTGGAGAAAGCAGAATGCCTGCTCAAAAATTAGATGACGATAGCAAGCAACTGTCGTTACAATAAATGTAAATGGTAACTTTTTTTATTTGAAAAAAGACTAAATTACACTACACTTCACCTATAAGAATCTCACCTAAAACAATAGGATTCAAAAAAATTGAAAGAAAAAGAAAGGAAAAAATGAAAATAAATGTTAAAAAAAAAAGCAATAATAGATAATGTTTACTTGGCTGGTATTATGTGCCAGGTACAAAGTTAATTAGCTTGCTCAAGATAAGACAATTAAGTATGAATTGAGGTATTAATAGCACTCAAAGTATAGTCAAGGCTAAAAGATATTATGCTTGTATAATAATAATCAGGAATACTTCACACTGAAGATACAACCGTCCTAAATTTTTTGTACTGAATAACATAGCACCTAAACACATAAAGCAAAGCGACCAGAAGTACAATGAGAAATCAAAAGAAATACCACAGTTAAAGGAGACTTTAATACTTTTGTATCGATCCTCAGCAGGTTAAATAGAAAAAAAAAAGAATAATAATATGGCAATTTTTATATGTGTTCTATAGGCACTTTAATAAAACATTTTCTATTTTTATATCTTATTAGAACTCTATTATTAATCATATAATTCAGATCCTCTATATCTCTGATCAGCAAACATTTTCTCTAAAGGGACAGATAATAAATAATTTAGGCTTTGCAGGCCATACTCTTATAGCTGAAGCAGCCATACATAATCTATTGGCAAATGAACATGGCTGTGTTTCAGTAAAACTTTATTAACAAAAAGAGGCTGAAGGATGTGTTCGGTCATGGACCTAGCTTACTGACCCCTGCTCTATATGATCACTCCTATGGAAGTGGTGATGGAACATTTACAAAAACAGCATATTTTAGACCACAAAAAAAATCTGAAATCCTAAAATAAGAAATGTACAGACTATGTATTCTGACCACAAAGCAATAAAAATAGGAATAAAAGTAGAAACAAACACACCAAACTGCTCAGAAAACCTGAGACCCTTCAAGCAAAAACACTATTCAATCCACTGTTGTTAAAGGTCCAGCACGGCATTTCCTGACCCCTTCCTCAGCCCAGTCTGTGGGTTTTTAAATACCAGTGCACCTAAAGACCAAGTCGCAGAATGAGACAAATAAAATCACTTAGTCAACATTCTTCTTCACATCTTGTTACCTTCAGCTCCCACTAGAGTGAAATACAAAGGCCGGCGGGCTCCACTGCGTACTGCCAGGGCACGTGCAGATTCAGAGGGGCTAGAATCTCAGCCGGGGAAGGAGCTGGGGGCCTTCGCAAGACGCCTTAGGAGGAACTCAAGGTGCAGGCCCTCGCCTCCTCCTGTAGAGCCAGGAGGAGAAATCAGCCTTCCTGACTCAAGTTGAGAGCACTTCCCAGGAATGTTCCGCTCCTTCTCAGTTCTGCTCGTGCCCATTTGCCCTTGGAGCACACACCTCTCCATGCCTGCAAGGAGCCTTTCAGTCTCCCAAGTAACACCTCCCTCTCTGGGCCTTTCCTCCCCCTCCTTCCTTCCCTCCCCAAGGGGCAGCCAGCACTCAGCACTGGAGACTAGAGGGCCCTGACTCCATCCTCTCCCCTCCGCGGGCCCCAGGCCACTGCATCTGAAGTGGTTCAAGCATTCCCCTTCAGAAATAAGCCCGCAGCAGTGGATGATTCAGCTGAACCCTTCAGCAGGTGTGGCATTCACCAACCCTCTGAGGAGAAAGTCAGCCTGGAAAGGAGTCAGGAATGAAAGAAAAGTCCTTCAAATTCCTTGAATGTGAGCAAAGCAGACTGCCCCTCTGTGCTCGCTCCGTCCTTCCCCGCCCGGATGTTGCAGAGGCCTCCTTGGACAGCGTGGGGGACATGCCCGAGTCCTGTGCAGCTGTTGCACAAGGCGGGCTGTCGCTGGACGTCTGCTGAGATTCCTGAGCAACTCACGGGGGAGCAGAGGAGAGACCGCTGTGGAGCACACGGCCTGACACTCTCAAGAGAAGGGGTGACTTCTATGAATCTGCTTCCCAAAATTCGGAAAGGCATGCTCGTTGCGGAAGGGCAAAATAATCGAAAACTTTTCAGCAACTGGGAAGTGTAGTGATTGTCACCATCTTTCTCCTCCCGGCCCCCTTCTCCGCCCCCGTCCCTCCCCTGCCTCTAAAATCTGCCTCCCTCTTCTCTTCGCCTGGACCCCAGAGCTGCTCACTTGCCTGGCCAGGATTACCACCTGCTAACAGTGTGTGCAACGTGTCTGAAACTACTACCTGACGTTCATTTTGCTCACCGCCTCTGAGCCTGGGAAGCGCAGAAAGAAAAAAGAAATTCTGAGTTGGATTACACTAGAGGAATTTCTTTCTTGGGGGTCTTTTCTGCCTCTAGCCAGCTGCAGTCCACGTTACCAGGCTTTCTCTGGTATCCCACCCCTCCCGACCCCGCGCTGCCCGCCAGGATTTACGTCCGGAGGCGGGGCGCGCTCCGGCCTCCGCGCGCCTCACTCACCCTGTGCCTCGGCTTTCGCGCTTGCACTCGCTCTGTGTCCCGCGCGTTCGAGGCCGCACTGGTTCTCTGGATGCTGGGGACCCCGCGGAAGTGATCGATCCCGCCCTCACGGCGCCGAGCAGTTATAAAGGCGGCTGTCGCCCGAGGGAGGGACGAGCGAGGAGGTGAGCAGTGGGACAAGGGGCGGGAAAGGGTCAGGGGGAGGACACGCCTATTCCAGTTCCCCGGCACTGCGTGCTGTTATGAAAATAAAGTCCTCGCGCCAGGGAATGAACCAAAAGCCGGCTGACGTCAGCAGCACAGTCACCCTTGAAATTGTCGGGGGGTGGGAGGCCTCGGCCCCTCCCAGCCCAGCAGACTGCCCTGAGACCAGCGCCCCGGCTGGTCCCCGGGCTCCGGGGAAAGGGACCAGCGAGGACTGCTCCTTTTCAGTCCTGAAAGCTGTCACCTCCGAGTCGGAGCCACACCCCGCTCTCCGCCTGGCACTCCTGTCCCCCAAGGGCAAAGGCTAGCCAGGTGGTAGCCCTTCTTTTAATTTCGGGGTGGGGGGCGGGATACAGATTTATTTACCGTGTTTATTCAAGTAAATAGCACGGAGAGCTGGCCCCCAAGTGGCCTTTTCCTGCCTCCCTGACGCTCACCCCAGCAGAGCAGAACGGAGACCAGCAGCGGGAAGGAGGCGGCCCCCCTCTCAGGGCTCACCGGCCCAAGCGAGGGGGAGAGGCCCAGGAAAACTTCCTCAGGGGTCCAGAGTTAGCTGGCACGGCTCCACTTGTTAGTAGTGTCCTCAGATGGGACCCATTAGTCCTGCCCCGCGGGCCGGAGGAGAGATCATTATCTCTCTACTTTCCTAACTAGCTCTCTCAAGCCTCACAATGCAGGCTGAGAACGGGGATACCAGATAAAATATGAAATAAAGGAATTTTGCCTTTGGTATCTGGTTCCCCCTCCCTCTGGCTTCCCACTCCTCTTCCATTATCAAGCCAATCCTACTGAAACTTGTCTTTGTTTACTTGTCAAACAATCCTTAAGTGGCTGCCCGCAGTGTCCGGGCTCAGGGGCGGCTCAACCCCACTGCCTTGGGGGAGGGGGGCTCTGTGCTGTTGAGGTGCCCATTAGCACACCTGGTAAGCCAGCCTGTGTACTGTGCATATGAATTAACCCAGGAAGGTCTGGGGCTCCCCAGCTTTCTCAGCACTTGTTTTAAAATGTGACTTTTTGGAGAAGATACCTGCACTTCTGTTAGATTTTTATTTCACTCCCAAGAAACTACAGACAATATCTTGAGTTTTGGAACACTTCCCTTGAGGCCTGCAATCCACGGGTCTGTAAGCCCACCCACTCCTTCAGAGGGGCCTCTAAGGGGTGTGTGTGTGTGTGTGTGTGTGTGTGTAAGGGAAACTGAGAAATTGGTGGGGACTGAAAAAGGTAGTGCGCTTTAGTGTGTGCCATCTGCCACATCAGGTCTTCTCTCTGGACCTCAGTTTCCTCCTCTGTTACAGAAGGAAGTTGCAGTAGACCAGACGTGTCCAAAGATAGGTCATTAAGCCCACAAATGCAAGCCACAATTATTACGTTAAATTTTCCAGCAGCCACATGAAAAGAAGAAAAAAAGAGACAGGGGAATTAATTTTAAAAATATATTTTATTTAACCCAATAGATCCTAAATATGATTATTTCAGCATATAATCAATCAATCTTTTAAAAAATATTAATGAGCTATTTTCCATTCTCTCATTTCAAATTGTCCTCGAAAGCCTAGTGTGTGTTATACGTACAGCGCTTGCCAGGGTAGCCTACCTAGCCACACTGCAAATGCTCAAAAGCACTGTGTGGCCACTGGCTCCCACACAACAGCTCAAGGACCAGCGGTCTCTAAGGGACCTTCCAGTTCCTCACTGCAGGAATCAGAACCACCATGCCTACAGTGAGGTTTGTGGCATCAAGGAAAAGATGAGAAGGGAGTAAAAGCAGAGGGAACATGACTTTGGGGGATTCTTTCCCTATCCTCCAACCCTTCCCCAAGACAAGAAACCCAGGAAACCTCTTGAGAAAGGCTGACCGTGTTTTGTTTTTCCTGATGCCCCTTGTTCTCTGGGTGATATCTGTCTGGCCTGCCCAGGGCAGTGTATGCGAGAGCTTTGTCGGGGTACTTATTTTAAGTGCTGCCCTCCATCACCTGCACCCATTATTCTAAGCTTTGCCATTGACTTTGGGTTTCCTGCCTTGTCTTAGCACTGTCCCTTCTGCCCTCCTTTCAACTTCTTTTTCTCCTCTCCTCCCTTTATCAATACACCAGCCCAGCACCAAGCCCAGACTGGGATGAGGCACCTGGACCACATCATTTAAGGAGACATGGATCCCTGAGATCGAGCACCTCCTCACATTGTGAGCCCTAGGTACCTTGCTTGCCTTTGCTGTCCCAGAACCGCACGGGGTCTGGCTGTCTGAGAGGTGGGGAGGAGGCTGGCAGGGTGGGAGAGCTGAATAACTTTGAGATGTCCCGGAGGGTGACAGGGAGGGGGCCAGTAGATGGAATAGTTCATTTTCTGGGTCTCCCATCTTGCTAAAACTGTCTGGAAAACAAGGTTGAGGCCCTCAGAAATCAATGGAAGAAAGAGTATAAAAGGAGTCTGGAAACCCAGGTATGACTCCAACTCTAGTTATCCTCCTTTGAGTGTTACCTGGCTTCAAGTGACAGGTAGCATTGTTGAGGGATACAGAAGATAAGCTCACATGATTGGAAATGAGGAGATGAGAAGAGAGAGAGCCTCACAATAAGGGTGCCTTTTTCTCCTAAAAGGGAGGCTGGTCTGATGCTGCAGGAGCCTTCATTCAGCAGCAAGGCCAGCAAGGGGTTCATTTTCCAGGACCATGGGTCTGGGTCAGTCTCGGTCTGGGAGTCTCAGAACTAGGTCCCTGGAGACACCTTTCTTACAGATCCCACCAACCAACACCAAAATGGCCCCCACTTTTAAAAAAAATTTTTTATTTATTGACTTTTAGGGAGAGAGAAACCTTGATTTGTTGTTCCACTTATTTATGCATTCATTGGTTGATTCGTGCATGTGCCCTGACCGGGAATCAAACCCACCACTTTGGTGGATCCGGACGACACTGTAAACAAGTGAGCTACGCGGCCACAGCAGCCCCCATTCTTGACTGCGGGAACATGGACAGATCTGCCAATGTCGTGGTTCTGGCCCCTTTACCAACTTTACCCTGGAATTTGGGGCTGTAGAACCTCAGGCCAGGGGCTCCCCCTTTCTGACCCCCTTTTTGACTACAAGACTTCTGACCCCCTCCCTGAACTCAATTAAATCTCATTTAAGAAACAGCCAGACTAGGAGAAAAGCGCAAGGGAGTTTTACTTCCTCAGGCCATTTCACTAATGGAACAGCTGGTGTCAGCTCACAGGTCCCACCAGGTTCCTGCTAACAGTGGCTTTTCCACTCAATTGCTAAACCATGTAGAAAGGATCTGGGAGTCAACGGTGCACCAAGCATTGTAGGGTATATACTACAAGGATGAGAAAGATACCACTGAGTCTCTATCCCCTGAAGGGAATTTCCATGTTTATTTAGAAGCTGTGGATGATCGTCTGTATAACTGTGTGGGGATGCAAAAGAAAACTGCTTTTAAGGAGCTCAGTCTGGTGGAGAGACGGACCATGACGAAAGAGAAGCAACGCATCGCATTAGATGTTAGGCCAGAGGAACACAAGGACCACACCTGGGCACTAAAGGCCGCAGTCAATACTCCCTGCAGCATTCAGGGTAGCCCTCATCAAGGACAAGAGCCTTAAGGGAAGAGTAAGAGTTTCTTAGATGGAGAGGGAAGCGGGGTAAGGAAGGGGAGGGCAATCTAGTCAGAGAGGACAGAATTTGCAAAGTCACAGAGGTGTGGAACAGCCCTGCCCTGGCACGGGGTGTGAGCACCAAGTGTGGGCACTGGGCAGATGAGTGTGGAGCCCCAGACTCATCTTGGAAGCAGAAGGGTGTTGAAGCATATAGCCATTCCAGTGGCCCTAAATCCAGTGACTAGTGTCCTTATAAGAGGATACAAAGAGATAGAGAGACACAGAGAGGAAGGCCATGGAAAGGCAGACAGAGATTGGAGTTATACTGTCACCAACCAAGGAACACCAAGGACTGACGACAACCCCCAGAAGCTAAGGGAGCAGCATGGCACAGTCCCTCCTTTAGAGCTCTAGAAGGAACCAGTTCTGACCTCCAGAACTGTGAAAGAATCAACTTCTGTTGTTTTAAGCCTACAAGTTTGTGATATATTGTTTCGGTTTTTTAACTTTCTTTCTTTCCTTCTTTCTTTCTTTCTTTCTTTCCTTCTTTCTTTCTTTCTTTCCTTCTTTCTTTCTTTCTTTCTTTCTTTCTTTCTTTTCTTTCTTTCTTTCTTTCTTTCTTTCTTTCTTAGAGCAAGTGAGAGGGGAGGGGAGGAAGAAAGAGAGGGAGAGAAATATCAATCACTTGTCTCACATACACCCTGACTGGGGACCAAACCTGCAGCCTAGGCATGGGCCCCGACTGGGAATCGAACCAGCACCCCTTTGCTTTTGGGGACAATACCCAACCAACTGTGCCACACCAGTCAGGGCCAGTTCATGATATTTTATTAGGGCAGCCTAGGAAACTAATACACCTCTGAAATGTAGGCAGTTTTGCATCTGCCACAGAGTTTTGTCAAATGCTAAAAAGAGCCTGCCTAGCACAGCAGCAGTCTCGAGGGCTTGATCTTGAAGTGGCCTCGGTTTCGTCTTCCCACCTCCACCCAGTCAAAGGGAGAGAGGTGGAGTATGCAAAGGGCAAACACGCATGGCGCGAAGGAGATGACACTTGAAGCTCCGGAATGCAGCCTGTAGGGAACCAGGGCCCGCGGTCGGCGCTCTGGCCAGCCACCAACTCTGCCTGTCTCGTTATCAGGCCATGAAAAATGTCATGTTTACAGCTCAGTCTTCCCCACCTTTTCTGGGATTGACTTTAAGATTGTGCGCATACTCAGGGTCTTAATTCAGAGGAAAGTTATGAGTCCAAGTCTCTGAGCTGAAACCAGAGAGGTGCTACCAGTAACCCCAAGGCTGGGTTAGAGTCCCATTAAGTGCCCAGACTGGTTCCGTGATGTGAAACCCAATGCAGCTGGAGCC